ATTCCCATCTTTTAAATACATAATGGAGATAGTTTCTCATGAGATGTGAAGAAAGGCTGATTGATTGATTGCTTCTGATAATGCTTGTAATGTATTACAGTCTCTTATTTTGAAGTGCTTAAAAATAGACTCAGAAAACATGTAACTTAGTCTGCTGCTAGTATGGTGGCAGAGTTTCTCATTTCTGTTCTTAGTTATTTTAACCAGGAATTTTCAGGTGGAGTCTTTCTGCCTGGCAGCCAGGCAAGTGCTTCCTGTCTACACCACCTCCTTTTAACTAGCTCCCTTTAAAACCCCAGACTCAATGAACAGTGCAGCCATTACTTGTTAGAGTTGTCCCAGATTCCTTAATCAGGAATCTGACCAACATTTCTTTTTCTTTCCACCTGAGAACCCAAAGTGTGATCAGGTCCTTCTCTTGTGACTGAGACTGTTGTTTTTTATTTTACTCTTCTGTAAAAGGGAACAACTGTTTCTCCCCCAGGAGAGTCAAAAGACCAGCCTTGGGACATAGCATCTCAGATAAGCAGAATATCACTATTCCATTAACTGGCTTCCCTGTTTATTCCTCTCATATCTGTCTTGAAGCGAATCTTCTTATTTTTTGGAGCCCATCTGCTTTTCATTTTACAAAGGATATGCCTCCAATTTCATAAGCGCTAGTGTTCTGAGTTGAACTTTTTCCTTTTAGTCAATTTCTTATTCCCTCAACCTCTTTTTCTACTTCTCTAAACAAACATGTCTCATTTTCTGTATTGAGTTGCCCCTCTAAGAGAATATGGAACATGATTATTTAGAGTAGGAACTCCTACATGGCTTCCCAAGGAAGCCATTGCTTCCTTATACTAGGGAAGAAAGACATCAATTTGTTGGAATAGGGAACCACCCACACACTTTTTTTTTGCCTTATTGAATTTGACCTGCTGCCTTGATTTCCTTGCCTACTACCTAAAACAGACATTGCTCATAAATTTTCTTTTCTTTTTTCTTTTTTTGACACAGGGTGTCACTCTGTTGCCCAGACTGGAGTAGTGATGTGATCATGGCTCGCGGCAGTCTTGACCTGCCAGGCAATTGCCAGCGGGCCGAGGGGTAGTATAATACCTCTTGGAGGAAGGGAGCTTTTGGTTAATCACAGATTTATTGTGCTTTACCTGAAAACATACGAGTTTGCCCCTGTCACTCCAAAAATATTTCCAGCTTGTTCATGGTTATAGAAGTTCTACTCTTAAACTAGACCGATAGAATATTTTCTGTAGCATTACTATTTATTGGTATGGGGCTGGGCACAGTGGCTCACACCTGTATTCCCAGCACTTTGGGAGGCCAAGATCACCTGAGGTCAGGAGTTTGAGATCAGTCTGGTCAACATAGTGAAATCCTATCTTTACTGAAACTCCAAAAAAATTAGCCAGGCATTGTGGCAGGCGCCTATAACCCTGGCTACCTGGGAGGCTGAGGCAGGAGAATCACTTGAACCCCAGGGGGCAGAGGTTGGCAGTGAGCCGAGACCATGGCGTTGCACTGCAACCTGGGCTACAAGAATGAAAATCCATCTCAAAATAAATAAATAAATAAATAAACTAATAAACTATTGCTATGGGTTTTTTTTTTTTTCCTGTAAAGAATACTGTTTAGGAAATCATGGAAAGATAAAATGAGAACAAGAACTGCCTTTGCCTTCTTGTCTGTATGATGCCACCTAAAATAAATTCTATACTGTTCATTGTTAATTTTTTTGGCCAGCATTGAGTTACAGCTACAAGAACTAGGCCCTGTCATTCGCAGTGGTGTCTACTCCCACCTTGAAGCTTTTGTGCCATGCAATAAAGAAACACTAGTAAAACGTCTAAAGAAGTTGCATCTCAATGTCCAGGTAAGAGGAAGAACAATAATATCTGCATCTTGAGTTTCATAACCTGTAAAGATACTTTCTATTTGGGGCCTTTGCACATTAATAGATTTATAGTCATATTGTATATATTTAATAATCATAGGAGGTTATTAAAAGTATGTTGGATCCCCTGAAAAATAATTAGTCTTCAACAATTGATAAGTTCAGAGGAGAAATGTTTTTTAAAGCATAGATTGTTGGATGTAAATTAATATAGTAGGTATGATCTGATAAACAGTTTTTTTTAAATATAGGTACTCACCTTTTTTTTTTTTTCTCTCTTTTGATATAGGGTCTTGTTCTTGTCCAGGCCAGAGTGCAGTGTTGTAAACATGGCTCTCACTGCAGCCTTAACCTCCTGGGCTCAAGCATCCTCCCATCTCAGCCTCCCAAGTAGCTGGGACTACAGGCTGACATCACCATGCATGTCATTTTTAAATTTTTTGTCTGTAGAGACAGGTTCCCGCTATGTTGCCCAGGCTGGTCTTGAACCCCTGGCAAGTTTGAAGTTACTTAACATCCCTTTGGCTATGGAAGAAAGATGTCTTATCCTTGCCCTTCTTTATATGGTTTTATCACATATATTTGTATCCCTAAACATTATATTTAATTTTGCACATTTTTGAGCTTCATATATATAAATACTCTCTGCTTTCTTTTGCAGGGTTTAAGGTTCAATATTGTGCAACTTAGATTTTTCTTATGTGTATATGTAGTAGAAATACATTTTTTTTTTTTTTTTTTTTTTTTTGAGACTCAGTCTTGCTCCATCACCCAGGCTAGAGTGCAATGGTGTGATCTTGGCTCACTGCGACCACTGTCTCCCAGGATCAAGCAATTCTCCCATCTCAGCCTCCCGAGTAGCTGGGTTTACAGGCACCTACAATCATGCCCAATGAATTTTTGTATTTCAGCAGAGACAGAGTTGCACCATGTTGGTTCCAGTGAGCCGAGATGGTTCCACTGCACTCCTGCCTGGATGACAGAGCGAGGCTGTCTCCAAAAAAAAAATTGTTTCAGTGAAGAAAAGTAAAGTCTTACAATATTTCATCACCTATGATGGTGATAAAAGTATGTTTCAAGTAGTTACATATATATACGGTTGCTAGCAAGGTGAAAATAATAAATTGGTTAATTAAAGCTGTCAGGTACAAACCTACTTTCTTTCTTTTTGGCCCTGAAAATACACATGAGTAAGAGTTTTCAGGTTCCTCTTTTACTTTGGCCTTGACCTTGCATTACCTGCAGCTTAAGTCAAAATGATTAACCATAACTGAGAGAACAGGATTCCAACATCCAGTTGGTAGTCACCCAAACCAAACACATGTGTTCATGTTCCAGAGCATTGTCTCTTCTTAGGGTACTGGTTTCCCATCATAATGGAGATTAACCAGTAGTAGTCTGTACAATGTAGATTTTGTTTTCTATTTAATTATCTGTATTAAAGTGTCCATGGGGCATTTTAAAGACTGTAAAGGAACACTATTAATAATTATGCTGGGCAATAGGCAGAAACTGGGGCTCTTCTTGGCTAACTGGGAAATGTCATTCTAATTTTGTATCCAGTGTGTATTACGAAAAGTCAGTGCTGTAGAAGAAATGTGCATATTTAGGTATGCTAATATTTGAAATCTATAATTGGTAACTAAAACATAAATTTCATCTTTCAAGGACCTCACAAAATTTTGTAAACATGTCTGATAAAAACTTTTATATGCTTTTCTTTTCAGGATGATCGTTTAAGAGAACCTCTGCAAAAACTGAAACTGGCTGTCAGCAATGTCATGCCTGAACAGCTATTTAAATACCAGGAGGACTGCCAGGCTCGTAGTCAAGCTAAGTGTGCCAAGTATGTATCTCTTCTATTTGGACTGGCTTTTGCATTTGAGAAGTACTTTTATGTATTTATTTTTATTTATTTATTTGTTTTGACATGGAGTCTCACTCTGTTGCCCGGGCTGGAGTGCAGTGGTGCAATCTCGGCTCACTGCAACCTCCGCCCCCCGGGTTCTCCTACCTCAGCCTCGAGAGTAGCTGAGATTACAGGCACCTGCCACCACATCTGGCTAATTTTTATATTTTTAGTAGAGATGGAGTTTCACCACATTGGCCAGGCTGGTCTCAAACTCTTGACCTCAGGTGATCCACCTGCCTCGGTCTGTCAAAGTGCTGGGATTACAGGCGTGAGCCACCATGCCCAGCCATGCATTTGAGAAGTACTTTTAGCTGTTCTGATGTTATGTGGACCTCTTTCTCATGTTGAAATTCACGTATACCACTAACATGATATAATTGAGTATTTTGTAAATGACAGTTGCTTTGGAGTCAGAGGCAAAAGGCGTCTGTTGATTGATTGTATGGAGGTGATCAAAGCAAGAGCTGACATTGGTGAGACATTTCACAACCCAAACTTGACTTGCAAATATTTTCTGACCTAAAAGTTATAAAATAGTTTGCTAAATAAGGTCTTCAAATTATAATGTGTTTTTACATTATAATTTGAAGACCTTATTTAGCAAACTATAACTCCCTTCAAATTCAAAGTGTAATGTGGAAAGGTAAGTTTCCTCTTTACCCTCTCTCTTTTTTTTTTTTTTTTTTTTGAGAAGGAGTTTTGCCCTTTTTACCCAGGCTGGAGTGCAATGGCGCGATCTCGGCTCACCGCAACCTCCGCCTCCTGGGTTCAGGCAATTCTCCTGCCTCAGCCTCCTGAGTAGCTGGGATTACAGGCACACGCCACCATGCCCAGCTAATTTTTTGTATTTTTAGTAGAGACGGGGTTTGACCATGTTGACCAGGATGGTCTCGATCTCTTGACCTCGTGATCCACCCGCCTCGGCCTCCCACAGTGCTGGGATTACAGGCTTGAGCCACCGCGCCCGGCCACTACCCTCTCTTTTAACATTCAGTTAAGCAATTCAACAAGTGTTTATGGAGCATATTACATAGTTATATTGGGTTAAAAGTTTGTTTTATAAAGTGTTTTTTCATTTTTAGATTGCAGACAGATGAAGAACGAGAAAAAAATGGATCTGAAGAAGATGATGATGAGAAACCAGGGAAACGTGTCATAGGACCAAGAAAGAAATTCCACTGGGATGACACCATCAGGTAAGATTTAATTAGTTTTCGCTTTTAATATATAATGCAGAAGGAAGGTTTCTCATTTTTAAAAAAAATCTATAATAAATATAAAACTGGATTGGAAGCAACCAAAGATAAGTGTGTAGGAAAAAATTATTAAAGAGAAAAGTAATTAGTCTCCAATATCTTTAGAGTAGTATTGCTTTTATTTTCGTATATACTGTAATACTTTTTATAAACTAATCTAATAATGGAGTAAGTCATACTGGTTTCAGAAGGTGAAGTGCTCTCAACATGATTCTTCTTTGGCTATCTTTCTTAGTAGTATTTCTGTACCCCAAGTAGAGAACCATCCCTTTCGATCTTTGGTGCTTTGGTTAAAGGTGTCAAAGGAAATTGTTTCATATTAGGGGTTTGACTGTAGTTCAATGAATGATACATGTTAGAAATTGTTATTTTCTGAATTTTTCACATAGTCTTTATGATTGCTGCCAAATTTATGTGCTTCTAAAAAAAGTTTCAAATTTAATTTTCAATCTGCTTAGAACTTTGTTATGTAACCTTGTTGAAATCAAACTGGGATGCTATGAGTTAGAGCCAAATAAAAGCCAGTCTGCTGAAGATTATCTTAAGTCTTTTATGGAGACAGAGGTGAAGCCCCTGTGGCCTAAGGGCTGGATGCAGGCAAGGTAAGACATGCAACTTACTGGATTTTATTATTTTCGCTGTCATTAAAGATATACATACATATATGTGACATTGGTTTTTCTGAGAACCTAATGTATTCAGCATACTGTATAGTCATCTCAGATGATCCTTGCTTTGAAAACCTTAAGTGCTTAAATGACAAAATAGTCATGCAGACACAGAGATAGGCGTAAAGGTGATATTTTACTCAACATTTTTTTTTACACCCAAATTTGCTGGTAGAAAAAAAGGGAAGAGGGAAGACTCCCAAATGGTTATGAAGTTTGGGAGAGGAGCTTCATTTGGGTAACATGAATATAGGGAACTGAATATGGGATTAGAGCATAGGAAAAGAGACACAGCCTTAGGTTCTATTGAACATAGTCAGCGTAGGCCGGGTGCAGTGGCTCACACCTATAATCCCAGCACTTTGAAAGGCCAAGGTGGGAGGATCACTTGAGCCCAGGAGCTTAAGACCAGCCTGGGCAACATAGTGAGACCTGTCTCAAAAAGTAAGTAAATAAGTAAGAAAATATTCAGTGTAGAGAGATACTTTAAGAAACTAAAAGTTGCTCTATTTGAAGTTTCAAGGGTTAAGTAAAGAATGTGGCCCATTGCAGTAGTAGCTTACACCTGTAATCACAGCACTTTGAGAGGCCAAGGCAGGTGGATCATCTGAGGTCAGGAGTTTGAGACCAGCTTGGCTAACATGGTAAAATCGTGTATCTACTAAAAATACAAAAATTAGCTGGGTGTGGTCTTGGGCACCTGTAATTCCAGCTACTCAGCAGACTGAGGCAGGAGAATCACTTGAACCCAGGAGACGGAAGTTACAGTGAGCCAAGATTGCACCATTGAACTCCAGCCTGGGCAACAAGAGCAAAACTTAGTCTCAAAAAAAAAAAAAAGAGTTAAAGAGTGTAAAAATTAATAAACTTGAGTAGTTTAACCCATGATCTTAAAGTGCTCCATCTTATATCAACAAAAAGATCTGTTGGCCAGGTATGGTAGCTCACCCCTGTAATCTCAGCACTTTAGGAAGCCCAGGGCTGTCGTGAGAGGATTGCTTGAGGCCAGGGGTTCAAGACCAGCTTGGCCAACATAGTGAGACCTCTGTCTCTGCAAAAGGTTTTAAAATTAGCTGGGCCTGGTGGCACACACCTGTAGTTCCAGCTTCTTTGAAGGCTGAGGTGGGAGGACCGTTTGAGCCCAGGAGGCCTAGGTTACAGTGAGCTGTGAATAAAACTCTCCATAAAATAGATTATTAAGTATGCTGTACCATTATAACTTTTACTTGGTAAATAAGCAAGTAATAGTTGATTGAAAATTAAGTTACTTTAAAAAATAAAACAATTATCATATTATCTGCTATTAAAAAAAATAATTGTGTTCTTTAAATTTTTCCAGAATGCTTTTTAAGGAAAGCCGGAGTGTTCATAATCATCTTACTTCTGCTCCGTGAGTAAATGCAGTCTCCAGATTGCTTCATTTATTCGCATTATGCACTTTAGTAAACAAAAATATCATTTATTAAATGCTAGTTGGAATAGGACTTAAAAAGATCATTTTGACCATTGACTATTTAGACTTCAAAACACAAATTGATCTCTTTCTTCCCTAGTATAAGGAAGCAGTGGCTTCCTTGGGAAGCCATATGGGAGTTCCTACCTACTAAATCCATACTGGGACACATAATGGCCTGGGATTCTGGTGGTAGGGAAGCAAGAAGGTTCAGAAGTTTTCCTTTGTTCCTGGGCCTTCTACCTGCCAGTCTTTTTCTCTACCTCTTAATGTTCATCTGCATTTGTCGTCTACAACCCCCTGCTGCCCTGAGCTTACCAGGACAGATCCATATGCTCATCCACCCTTGTTGCACTGCAGTGTTTTATTTTGCAAAATCAGCCTACTCTTCAGGTCTTTCCTTGTGTTCAAAACTGGATATTTCCTTAGTGATATGATTACCAGAGAAGGATATTTTATCCCCCCATATACAACAAAAAGCAAGTTTTTTCTATTATTATTATGTTATTAACTGCTATAAAAATAATTCAACCGTTTTGGTTGAATACTGGTCAATTCCAGAACAGTTTTATTTTTCCCTACAACTTAGGGCTACTTCTCTGTAGCCTACAAGTGTGGCATTTAATAACCCTTGTATTAAAGCCAGCACAGTGGCTCATGCCTGTTATCCCAGCACTTTGGGAGGCTGAGGTGGGTGGATTGCGTGAGTCCAGGAGTTTGAGACTAGCCTGGGCAACATGGCGAAACTCCATCTGTACAAAAAATAAAAAATTAGCCACGCATGGTGGTATGTGCCTGTAGTCCCAGCTACTTAGGAGGCTGAGGTAGGAGGATGGCTTATGCCAGAAAAGTGGAGGTTATAGTGAGTGGAGATCATGCCACTGCCCTCCAGCCTGGGGGACACAGCAGACCTTGTTTCCAAAAGGAAAAAGGGGAGGGGGTGGGGATTATTAAAATATAAAATTAGCAAGTTACTCAGAATTTACTGAATACTCTAATTCAGTATTCTGCTATGAGATCTGTTTAACATCTTTTGGGCAACATTATAAAATTCCTCCTCTCCTTCTATGCAGTTATATAGGAATTTTTTAGTTTTTAGGAAGGATACTTCGTTACAAGAGTTAGGGAGTTCGTCCCCTCGCTCCACACAGCCAGAAATCCACGTGTAACTTTCACTCTATCGAAACTTAACTACTAATAGCCTACTGTTGACCGCAAGCCTTACTGATAACATAAATAGTTCATGAACACATTTTGTACGTTTTATGTACTGTATACCATATTCTTATAATAACATAAGCTAAAGGAAAGAAAATGTTAATAAGAAAATCATAAGGAAGAGAAATTATATTTACTATTCATTAAGTGGAGTGAATCATCATAAAGGTCTTCATCCTCAAGGGTCAACTGTATATCATCAGGGATGCATTGAGTTGGTTGTGGTTTTCAGTTCTTACCGTTTTTTTAGTATAAATTCTAAGGAGTTTGGTTTCAAATTATAGGTTTACTTTGTTGCAAGTGTTTTGGTTGTCTTTGAAATAAATTTTATATACATATGTATATATATCAGTAATATTTTTGGCTTTAATTTCCCTGCAGTAGTCCCTCTTATCCTCAGACAGTATACTCCAAAATGCTACCAATGGATGCCAGAACCACAGACAGTACTGAAGCCTACGTAGACTGTTGTTTCCTTTATATACATTCCTATGATAGATCGTAGTTTACAAATTGGGCACAGTAAGAGATTAACAACAGCAATAATAAAAGAGAACAATTTAACTCTGCTATAATAAAAATTATGTGAATGCAGTTTCTCTCTATTTCTGGAATTTTCCATTTAATATTTTCAGACTTAAGTTGACCACAGGCAACTGAAACTGCAGAGATTGAAAACTGTGGATAAGGGGGGCTACTGTAATTCTAAAGCCACGTATGCATTACATTTCAGGTACAAATAATGCATTCCTTTAATTCTAAAGGTGTTTACAAAAGATACGTCTGTGTCTCTGTCTCTGTCTCTCTCTCTCTCTCTCTTTTGAGAGGGAGTCTTGCTCTGTTGTCCAGTCTGGAGTTCAGTGGTGCAGTCTCAGCTTCTCAGATCACTGCAACCTCTATCTCCCAGGTTCAAGTGCTTCTCCTCCTCAGCCTCCCAAGTTGCTGGGATTACAGGCATGCACCACCACACCTGGCTAATTTTCATATTTTTAGTAGAGACAAGAGTTTGACCACATTGGCCAGACTGGCCTCAAATTTCTGGCCCCAAGTGATCTGCCTGTCTTGGCTCAAAGTGCTGGGGTTACAGGCATGCCCCACACCTTTCCCCTTTTCCTTCTCCCTTTCTTTTTTTTTTTTTTAAAAAGACAGAGTTTCACTGTGTTGCCCAGGCTGGTCTTGAACTCCTGAGCTCAGGCAATCCACCCACCTCAGCCTCCTAAAGTGCTGGGATTACAGGCGCTCCCAGCCCTTCTCCCTTTTTTGAGTAGCTTCATCATTATTATTATTATTATTATTATTATTATTTTTTTTGAGACAGAGTTTCACTCTTGTTATCCAGGCTGGAGCAATGATACGATCTCGGCTCACTGCAACCTCCGCCTCCTAGGTTCAGGCAATTCTCCTGCCTCAGCCTCCTGAGTAACTGGGATTACAGGCATGCGCCACCATGCCCAGCTAATTTTTTGTAGTTTTAAAGACGGGGTTTCACCGTGTTGACCAGGATGGTCTCGATCTCTTGACCTCGTGATCCACCCGCCTCGGCCTCCCAAAGTGCTGGGATTACAGGCTTGAGCCACCGCGCCCGGCCCGAGTAGCTTCATTATTATTGTTAACTTTGTGTTTTGTTTAACTTTGTGTTTTGTTTTGTACCAAAAAGTAGGAATCTGTGGGATAAGTGGGTCTACAGGTCCTTTCCCTAAATGGCCTTCATCAAAAAAACTTAGAAAATTACTGTTGCCTAAATGAAGTTGTAAAGTGACAGTTTTCATCAGGATTCTTGTTAATCTAATTGATGACATTTTAGGCAAGTGAAGTAGATAAGGTGAAATATTTTAGCTTGTCAACACATTAATTATTCAACGAACATTTGGATATGTTGACTTACCTTGGAAATCGTTAGTTTTTTTTAATCTTCAGACTTCTTCATAGTTTTCCAAGAGTTTCAAAGTTTCATAGTAATTTTTCTTTCCCTTTTTTCTCCCTGTCATTTTGACTTTTTTTTTTTTTTTAATTTTTACATTACAAAATAATTTCTTTAAAAACTTAGGGATTCTTTGTTTTGTTTTGATTAAGTTAAATTACATTCGCACCTTCTTGGCATGGTTTAATTTGACCTTGAAGTTCCTTGAAGATTTTTTTTAAACAGATAATTGTAAATTCTTACCAGTTTTTTTAGTAAGTCTGTTTAGGCAGCTTTGTTAGTTTTTGGGGTCATTTTACAGTTTATATATTTACATTTAATTTTTTAAAAATTTTATCAACATATTTTACCAGTTGTTTGGCCTTTCTTTAATTAATGTGAATTGAGGAAAATGTTGCTATATACTTAGTATAAACTGAGCATTTAAATACAGTTCCTTCAGAGAGCTTTCCAAATAGCAGAAGAAATTATTTACCACATAATTACAGAGTTATATATTATAACTTTTTGATGAGCAATATGTAATATTGCTACTGAAATCGCCTTTTTAAATCATTTTATCCTAGGGCAAAGAAAAAGGTGATTCCTGCACCTAAACCCAAAGTAAAGGTAAGTCTTGAAACAAAATCTTTAATTAGTTATAATTGGTGAACATTGAAATACATTCCTAAGATGAAAAGGAAATACGGTATTTAGCAAAGGTCAGTAGGCACTATAAGATAGGTGTTTTCAACTTCGTGATACTCTTAGAACTTCTGTATTTGGGACAATAGATTTCTGTGTAACGGTGGGAAATGTGCATACGCTGATTGTAAAGCTTAACTTTATTAATATACTTGGAAATGCTAGGTAAAGTATAACAAATATTCTTTCATAGCATAGCTGAGATTGAAAATATGTAAGAAAAATTCCTAAGGCCAAAAACAAAGAAGGAGCTGACAGTGTTAATCCATTGTCGTTGCCCTTGGAGGCATTTGGCACTTTGTGTCCATCACTTGATGGTTTCTTTTCACATTTCTTCTCAGAGCATAGCAGTTAGAGTTTCCTTGGGCTTGTACAGGTTGAAAATTGGGATGAAACCTGCATAAAGCTGGACCTTCAAACAATAACATCTTTTGTAAAAGAAAGAACTAGAAAAAAATGCAGCCACCAGCAGAGACACTAAGAAAAGTGTCTGTCTCGGAATGTCTTTGCTGAAAAATTTCCTTGCTTAGGAGTTTAATTTACACTCTCTGTACAATCTGAGAAAACCCCAAGCTAAAAAAAGTAACTTAGTTATTGCATTAGTAGTAACCCAGGACCACTTGCAAAAAAAAAAGCAAATCCTCCCTGATAATAACATGCCAGGTATAAACCACATCAGACCTGAGCCTCAAAGGCCTTCCTCCTATAAACCACATCAGACCTGAGCTTACAATCTGAAATACAGAATACATGAGAGAATAAGTTACTATGAGTGAGAATCAGTAGGAACAATAAAAACCCTAAGGAACAGTCCTAAGAGGGACGAGTAGTACATTTATGGAGCTCCATACTTAAAATAATTTTGCTAAGTTTTTTTTTATATTTAGAGAAATAGAAAAGAATAAAAAATATCCTATGAAAACAGACAAAGTAGATTTGAAAGAGAATCAAAGTATAAACTCTGGAAGTAAAAACTATAATCATTTGAAATTAAAATTTTAATGAAAGCCCACACCCTTTGGTTTTTACACTTCGCTCTGTAGCCTTTGTCTCCTTGGTTTTTTGTTGTTGTTTTTAATAGATGAATTTCTTTGCTTGTAAGATTGTGCCCAGATCTCAATATTCATTATTCTGTGGCCTTCCTGCCTTTTTGGTGTTAGAGCCTCTTGAAATGTAATAGTCCTCTTTTTCTTTATCTTTTTTTTTTTTTTTAAAAGAAGGAGTCTCACTCTGTCACCCAGGCTGGAGTGCAGTGGCGTGATCTCGGCTCACTGCAACCTCCACCTCCTGGATTCAAGCAATTCTCCTGCCTCAACCTCCTGAGTAGCTGGGATTACAAGGGCGGGCCACTACCCCCAGCTAATTTTTGTATTTTTAGTAGAGATGGGTTTCACCATGTTGGCCGAGCTGTTCTGAAACTGCTGACCCCATGATCCGCTGGCCTTGGCCTCCCAAAGTGCTGGGGTTACAGGCGTGAGCCACCGTGCCTGGCCAATAATCCTCTTTTTCTTAATAACCTGCTTTGTCTTCTGATCCAAATAATATTGAGCCAATCTTTCATTAAGTCTGTTGAGCTTAGACTTTATTTTGACACTTTATTTGTATATTAGAATACTAAAGTCTTAATACCCTCCATAAAGGATTGGTTACATTTTGATACATCTATTTAAACATATGATTGGTACAATAATTGGATAGGAAATTTATACATTCTAATACTGGATGTGTTAGGATATGGGTGAGTCATCAGGTTTTTTGTTTCCTTCTTTGTGATTAAATTACTTTTTCCTTTTCCCAAAATGGAAAAGCTATGTTGTTGATGTGATTTTTTGCTACTGTAACTCCCCATACTGTTTCTAGTTATAAAGGTAAGATAAGGAAATGCCTGCAATAGAAAATGCAAATAACACAGAAAAGTAAGGAGAAAAGTAAAAGTATCTATAAATTTCTCCTCAGTCAGAGAATAAAAACTCTTAGGTTTCTAGGACACATTTTCCTTCCCTTCTTTTGGAACTCTGTTCCTCCCTCCCTCCCTTCCATTCATCCATCTATCCAATCAGCTATCCATTTATTTAGTCTTTTATATAAATGGGATAACCTGCTTTTTTGACTAAGTTATATATCCTGGATAATTTTCTCTGCTAGTATAAATCTACACAGTATTCTATTACAGTGGGTTTGATATTTTTATAAATAAAAATTAATAATCAAAAAGTTATTTTTAAACAGCAATTTTATACTATTAATATTTCCAACATTTGGATACATTTCTTACCCTTTATCATGTAAGTGGATGGCGTATCAAAACAGACATGTCTCATCTGCATTAACCATTCTTCTTAGCAGACATTTGTGACCTTAATGCAGTTACACTTGTACTTCCAATAGGCAATGAGGTTTTTAATCAGGGGTTTTAGAATAAAAGCTTAGAAAAAGTACTAAGGAAGTTAGGGTATAATGGTATTCTTAACAGCTTGCTTATGTAATACCTTAGGAGGTGATGGTAAAGACCCTTCCTCTCCATTCTTTCCCCACTATGCTTAAGGTAAGTGCTATGGTTGTATAAATCAGTATGTAACATAACACTCTAGATTTGTTTGGTTTGTTTAAGAAACTAATTGAAGAGACTTGATATGACTTTTATGTCACACATTTTTGCTTCTCAATCTTAAAAATAAAATGAGTCAAACACTTTATATTTCTCTTTAAAAATAAATAGTTGCGGCCAGGTGCAGTGGCTCACGCCTGTAATCCCAGTACTTTGGGAGGCCAAAGTGGGCGGATCACCTGAGGTTGGGAGTTCGAGACCAACCTGACTAACACGGAGAAACCCCATCTCTACTAAAAAAAAAAAATACAAAATTAACCAGGCATGGTGGTGCTTGCCTGTAATCTTAGCTACTCGGGAGGTTGAGGCAGGAGAATTGCTTGAACCTGGGAGGTGGAGATTGCAGTCAGCTGAGATTGAGCCATTGCACTCCAGCCTGGGCAGTAAGAGTGAAACTCCATGTCAAAAAATAAATAAATAAATAAATAAATAAATAAGGAATAAATAAATAAATACTTTTTAATTATATTGCTCTTTGAATATTATAAACTATGCTCTAATTCTTTTTCTTAAATATTAAGAAGGTTGATTCTTTGAGAAATAGACTCTAACAACTCTTAGGTATTCAGAGTTCTAATTCTTAATACCCTTGTTTTCTTAGCATAGAGCCCTGTTCACAGCAGATACTTAGTGAATATATGTTGAATAAATGAGAAATGAATAATGTATAAATAAGTTACAGATTCACCATAATAAATAGCATAATTTATATATGCTTGGATTGAGTCATCTGCCACTTCGACGTACCAGTTTTTCTGTGTACTGGCTGTAGGGTAGGGCAAACAAAGAGGCAGAAATGCATGGAAGCAGAAAGTGAAGGTCAGCCTCCTGGCAAACCATCCCAGGCAAGAAGGGGAGTATCTTAATGTAAAGGCAGAATTTCTCCTGAGTACAGGGGAATAAAAAGAATAATCTGAACAGATGGATTTGGAGCAGGATTTGAAGATCTGATGCAGGTGAGGGAGGCCCATCAGTAATGTAACTAGTATACTAATGTTCCGTCCACTTGGTGTTAGTTAAGCTTACTAAGGTATGACAGGTATGTGTAATATATCAGATACTTTGTCTTGTGAGGACAGCTCAGTCAGGAACTCTGTCATCTCAAAAATTATTTTTTTTTTAATAGTCTCTAAAGATTTCCAGTAGAAAAACAATTTTAATTGTCATGCGAATCTTAGTTATTTAAAATTAACTTTGTAATTTTTTATTAACCATTTCTATTTTTTTCCATATGATGCTTTACATTAGGAGTATAGTCCAAAAAAGGACCAGAAAACTCCTTCATCCCTTGTGGCTCCAGTTAGCGGTCCTCCAACGAGCTCCAGCACAACTGCCGTTGCCGCAGCCAGCTCTAGCTCTGTACCAGCCCAAGAAACCATCTGCCTCGATGACTCACTAGATGAAGACCTTTCTTTCCATTCACCTTCACTGGATCTTGTTTCTGAAGCTTTAGCGGTTATCAACAATGGAAACAAGGGCCCTCCAGTTGGCTCAAGGATAAGCATACCAACCACAAAGCCTCGTCCAGGACTGAGAGAAGAAAAATTAGCAAGTATCATGAGTAAGCTGCCACTGGCTACTCCTAAAAAACTAGATTCTACTCAGACTACACATTCTTCAAGTCTTATTGCTGGTCACACGGGGCCAGTACCAAAGAAACCCCAGGATTTAGCTCATACCGGCATCTCTTCAGGCCTTATTGCTGGTTCTTCCATTCAGAACCCTAAAGTTTCTTTAGAACCTCTGCCAGCCAGGCTACTTCAACAAGGACTTCAAAGGTCAAGCCAGATTCACACTTCCTCCTCGTCACAGACTCATGTCTCCTCTTCCTCCCAAGCCCAAATTGCTGCCTCTTCTCATGCTCTGGGAACATCTGAGGCCCAAGATGCTTCTTCGTTAACACAAGTAACAAAGGTGCACCAGCATTCAGCTGTCCAGCAGAACTATGTGTCTCCATTACAGGCCACCATCAGTAAATCCCAGACCAATCCCGTGGTGAAATTAAGTAATAATCCCCAACTCTCCTGTTCCTCCTCGCTTATTAAGACTTCAGATAAGCCACTTATGTACCGCCTTCCCTTATCTACCCCCTCACCTGGAAATGGTTCTCAAGGGTCCCACCCCCTGGTTTCTAGGACAGTACCTAGCACCACTACCTCCAGTAACTATTTAGCCAAGGCTATGGTGTCACAAATCTCCACGCAGGGTTTTAAATCTCCCTTCTCGATGGCTGCCTCCCCCAAACTTGCAGCATCTCCCAAGCCTGCCACATCTCCTAAACCCCTGCCCTCACCTAAGCCTTCTGCCTCACCCAAGCCCTCTCTGTCAGCTAAGCCTTCGGTATCAACTAAACTTATTTCTAAATCCAACCCAACTCCCAAGCCTACTGTATCCTCTAGTAGTACAAGTCCAAATGCACTAGTAGCCCAGAGTAGCCACTCCAGCACTAACAACCCAGTCCACAAACAGCCCAGTGGAATGAATATCAGCAGACAGTCTCCCACCTTGAATTTATTGCCCTCTAACCGCACTTCAGGCCTTCCATCTACAAAAAATCTTCAGGCCCCCTCAAAGCTAACAAACTCATCATCCACTGGAACTGTTGGGAAGAATAGCTTGAGTGGAATTGCAATGAATGTACCTGCCAGCAGAGGTAGTAGCAACCTTAACTCAAGCGGAGCTAATAGGACTAGTCTATCTGGGGGAACAGGAAGTGGAACACAGGGTGCTACCAAACCATTGTCTACTCCACATAGACCATCTACTGCCTCAGGGTCTTCAGTGGTAACAGCCAGTGTGCAGGTATGTATCTTCTGTGCATTCATGTGATAACCAGATTGTTTAGTGTAATCTTTCTCGTGGGTAACTTTAATAAGCTTTTTATAATATGTGGATTGTTCTCAATAGGCTTATTACAGCCTACGGCCATGGGATATTCCTGATGCTGACATCACAGTGACAGGCTCGCTTGTAGATGAGGTGTTTGTTGGGATATGGGTTTTTTTAAAAAACAAACAAAGGTGCACCAGCATTCAGCTGTCTGACAGAACGATGTGTCTTTGTTACAAGCAACCATCACTAAATCAACTTTAAAATTATTTGGAAAAGCACAACTAAAATGCATATTTCGAAGTTTCTCTCTTATCAAAGTCCAGAACAAAGTAGTAACTTAGGCATTTAACATTCACTTAGCTCTTCTCTTCTCTTTTTCTCCTGCCAACTTTATTATTTTTTAATCAAATCTATACATTCACATTTTTTAAACATCTCTTCTCAAAATTTTTATTTTGCATTAATTTTATAGTTATATATAATTTTCTCTGTAAATTAGTTTCAGTAGGCAAGACAGAGTCTTGCTCTTTCGTCCAGGCTGGAGTGCAGTGGCACAATCTTGGCTCACTGAAACCTCCACCTCTTGGATTCAAGAGATTCTCCTGCCTCAGCCTCCCAAGTAACTGGGATTACAGGTGCCTGCCACCACTCCTGGCTAATTTTTGTATATTTATTTGTTTATTATTTTGATAGAGTTTCCTTTGTCGCCCAGACTGGAGTGCAATGCCGTGATCTTGGCTCACTGCAACCTCCACCTCCCAGTTCTCCTGCCTCAGCCTCCCAAGTAGCTGGTATTACAGGTGCATGGCACCATGCCTGGCTAATTTTTATATTTTTCATAGAGACGGTGTTTTGCCATGTTGGCCAGACTGGTCTTGAACGCCTGACTTCAGGTAATCTGCCTGCCTCAGCCTCCCAAAGTGCAGGGATTACAGGCTTGAGCCACTGCATCTGGCCTAATTTTAAAATTTTTTTGTAGTGATGGGGTTTCACCATGTTGACTGGGCTGGTTTCAAACTCCTGACCTGAAGTGATCTGCCTGCCTTGGCCTTCCAAAGTGCTGGGAGCACAGCTGTGAGCCACTGCACCCAACCTGTATTTCATCTGTCTTCCATGTCATCTTCTGTTATTGTTTTCATCTCTCTGCCACTTCTTTGTATTCTGACACTCTCAGATTTGTCCTTTATGTTAATGATTTAGTTTAACATTTTTCCCCTGAAAGTAATATGTGCTCACTGAAGGCAAGTTTAGAAAAAAGAAAGTAAAAATCACCTATTATCCCAACACTGTTTATGCTTTTGTAGGTACGTTTTAAGACTTTTTTTAAACAAACGTGTTTTATATAATACTTCGTTTTATAACCGGCAAAAAAAAAATACCATTTTATGATATGCATGTTCTTAGATGCTTAAATATTATTTGAAGACATAACTTTTATTGATTTATGGAATTGTGTTGTCTAAGGAAGTGCTCTTTGTACTGCCTCCTATTTATGTGGAACAGGAACATCTAATGAGAAGATTTTCCCTTTGCTATATGTCAAGATTTCCTGTTGTTCAATACAGTCTAAAGGTTGATATTCATATATATTGTATACATACAATATACATTGTATACTCAAATCGCCATTCTGCCACTAATGTAGGCATAGGAATGACTTGATGCCAGAATTCTAATGTAGAACAAATTCAGGTAACTGGTAATTCACTAATTGAAATCTAGGATTAACTGATGTTTTATGTATATAAATTTACTTTCATTAGAAATAAAATAATAACAAATTGATATTAGGGATTATATGTTAAAGTGAGTATCAAGATGGATTTAAAAAGGCCTTCACATATTAAAAAAGAAAAGTATATGCAAGGTTGGAGTTAGCCTGCATTACTGTTTATATTATCTTTATTGAAAAGTTTGCTCTTCTTAAAATTTATCCTTAATTTGATCAAAGGAATAAGTGAAAAGATAGCGTAAATGGTAGTTCCCTACCTAAATGGTTGTCTCCTCCTCCTAGGGTTAACTATTTTTAACTCTCTCGGCATTTTCTTCTTTGTGTTTTTAAATAAGAATAATAAATGGAAAACTCTTAATTTTACCAATTTTACTATAAAAATTTGGGGAGTTTTTTTGGGAATTAAAAATTCCCTTTTTATTTGCTTCGTTTTCCTTTAAGATTAAATCTTTGTTCATCCTTTGTCATCTCTATAATCTGTCAGTTCTATTTTGTTCCCAAAGATCTTCCTGTATTTGATCATTTATCACAAAAGAACCCATATACTGTCTAATGAATGATTGGTTTGTCAGCATGGAGGTTACTTGGCAAAATATGCCTTTCTGAAAACTACTCCTGGGTTTTCTTCCTCTCCCAAGTGGCTTTATGATTTGGAGACTGAAGTGTTCCTGCTTTCATATCTGATCCTTTTTTTTTTCTGTCTTACTGTTTTGACTGAAGAAAAGGTTATTAATTGAATAAGGTCATTTCTACCCTTTGGCAAAACTAAGGTTCTTTTTGTTTTAACATAGCATCTCAGTGAAGTCTTACCAGCTATCTTGTGGCCTCTAGAACCTGTCTATAGCTCTCCAACACTAAAAACAGATTTCCTATCTATATCTGTAAAGCATTCACCTTCTGTCTGAAAGGCATCTGCGGGTGTCTACTCATTTGTAGAGTGAAAATGACAGTTCCTTTAACAAATGGCAAAAGTTAAGCTCCTTCTGTGTTTATGTTGTTAGCTCTGCTTGCTTTCTATTTAATAACTTTCTACACAGGGGTTTCCTCCTCTTTCTTATCCTTCAACTTACTGATTGTCTGTAAATCCTGTCTTTGCCACTTTATAATTCTAAACATCATTAATTCATTAAGCAAATGTTTATTGAGTGTTTACTATGTGCCAGGCACTCTTCTAGGTGCTGGGGAAGTAGGGTTGAACAGCATACTCAACATCTCTGTTCTAGGTAGGAAGACATGGAAAAACACAGGTTTTTTTAATGTGGTAAATAACGATGAAAAAAATTGTAGGATAGTATGATAGTGATTGCTGCTAACATAGATAAAGAAGTTGAAGAAGGCCTCTTTGAGGAGGTAACATTTGATCGAGAATTGAATGAGCAGAAGCCGGCCATGTGGAGAAAAGAAGGAAAAATAGTTCAGGCCAGAGGAAACAGTTGTGTGAAGACACTGAGATGGAATAGAGCCTGAAGCAAAGGCCTGATGGCTGGACCCTGGGGGGAGAGTGGTAGGTAATGAGATGAGAGGCCAGAACCATGTCATGGAGGATCTTGTGGGCCACAATAAAGACTTTGGATTTTATTCTCTGTGCAGTGGGAAGCTACAGGGGGTTCTTAAACAGGGGACTGGTATGGTCTGATTTGCATTTCAAAAGGTTACTCTCGGTATTATGGGGAATGGGGGACCAGTGCACTCACCAAAGTAGAGCATGTGGTTTAAAAAAAATGTAATCCTGGCCGGGCGCGGTGGCTCACGCCTATAATCCCAGCACTTTGGGAGGCCGAGGCGGGTGGATCACGAGGTCAAGAGATCAAGACCATCCTGGTCAACATGGTGAAACCCCATCTCTACTAAAAAATACAAAAAATTAGCTGGGCATGGTGGCACGTACCTGTAATCCCAGCTACTCAGGAGGCTGAGGCAGGAGAATTGCCTGAACCCAGGAGGCGGAGGTTGCGGTGAGCCGAGATCACGCCATTGCACTCCAGCCTGGGTAACAAGAGCGAAACTCTGTCTCAAAAAAAAAAAAAAAAAAAATGTAATCCCCACCACGGGAAGAGCGAGGTTTCCCTTCAGCGTTTTTCCCTGGGAATAAAATGTAGAAGTCATGGAAAGTACTTTTGATTACAGGGCATAATCCTGAACTCTTTACCTGTTTCATGCTGATTTCTTGTGCATGCTCCCAGATTATACCAATGTTGGAATACCCCACTGCTGAACGGTCTCCATCTTTTAGGATAGAGAGATTTACAAATACTCATGTCACATTTAGATTATCTGATGCTTCTATTTAGATTTATAAACAAATTAAATTAGCTATAGAAGTTACTTGAAAGTGTAAAATAATAGACAGTTATGGCGTAGTATCACTTTTTTATTGCTATACTCGAGTTATTTAATTTTGGAAATTGTCCTAATTTGCCTTTTGCAATTTTTTTTTTTTTTTTTGAGACAAGATCTCACTCTGTTGCCCAGGCTGGAGTACAGTGGCACAATCTTGGCTCACTGCAACCACCTCCTCCATGGTTCAAGCAGGTCTCTTGCCTCAGCCTCTGGAGTACCTGGGAATATAGGCGAGTGTCACCATGCCCAGCTAATTTTTGTATTTTTAGTAGAGACGGTGTTTCACCATGTTGGCAAGACTGGTCTTAAACTCCTGGCCTTGGGTGATCCACCTGCCTTGGCCTCCCAAAGTGCTGGGATTACAGGAGTGAGCCATGGTGCATGGCACTCATTTTGTATATATTTTAATGCTTCAGTTACACACTAAAAGCTTTAAAAGATTCCCCTTATAGGCCGGGCACGGTGGATCACGAGTTCAAGAGATCAAGACCATCCTGGCCAACATGATGAAACCTTGTCTCTACTAAAAGTAAAAAAAATTTAGCTGGGTGTGGTGGTAGGTGCCTGTAATCCCAGCAACTTGGGAGGCTGAGGCGGGAGAATCGCTTGAACTCAGGAGGTGGAGGTTACGGTGAGCTGAAATCGCGCCACTGCACTCCAGCCTGGGTGACAATAAGACTCCGTCTCAAAAAAATAAATAAAAGATTCCCCTTATTAACAGTGTTTAATGTTCCTCACTAGGGAACTTCTGTTGGGGCACACAGCCTTGGAGATTCTTTATCATCCCAAGACTACAATAGAATTATGATTAAAAGAAGAAGCAACTCTGGTTAATTTTTTTTTTTTTTCTGAGACAGAGTCTTGCTCTGTCGCCCAGGCTATAGCGCAGTGGTGCGATCTCAGCTCACTGCCACCTCTGCCTTCCAGGTTCAAGCTGGAAGGATTTTTCTGCCGAAGCCTCTCGAGTAGCTGGGATTACAGACACACGCCACCATACCTGGCTAATTTTTGTATTGTATTAATTAATTATTGTAATTTTGTATTTTTAGTAGAGATGGGGTTAGTAGAGACTACCATGTTGGTCAAACTGGTCTTGAACTCCTAACCTTATGATCCACCCATCTCAGCCTCCTAAAGTACTGGGATTGCAAGCGTCAGCCACAGTGCCCAGCCAACACTGGGTAATTTTTAAGTTGATCCTTTCTGTCCTAGTTGCTTTAAGATATTATTTCTAACTTGGTAATTTTTTCTAAATGCACCACTTTGTATATCGTGGTTGGCACAGTATGGGAAAGACTGGCAAATAAAAACCGTCAAGTTCAAACATGGAGTGGTGAAGAGTTGTGCTTAAGTGTAAGAGGAAATTTTGGTAAAATGTAGGGGTTTGTTGGCTATGATATCATCATTTTATGATGCCTAAAAACTAAGGTTTTAAGCCTAAGTGACTGGAAAGAATGGAATTCCTTGATGAAAGCAGTTGGCAGAAGATGGAGGAACCAATTGGAGAAGATGATTTCAGCTTTGGATATGTCAAGTTGGTGCTAGATATTCAAGTGGAATTATTCACTTAACTCTCAGATATACAGGATGGAAATTGAGATGAGAGGCCGGAACTACGGATATAAATTTCAGTGGTAACAAAGGAGATAAGGGGAAGGGAGGCAGCTAAAGAACCAGAATAGAAGGCTGCTTGAGGATATTCATTTTTTGTTCAGCAGTGGCGTAGACTCTTAAGTGTGTAAATGTATGTAATGTCATGTGGCATGTATGTATGGAACCATTGTCTGCATTTTTTTTTTTTTTTTTTTTTTTGAGAAGGAGTTTCGCTCTTGTTACCCAGGCTGGAGTGCAATGGCGCGATCTCGGCTCACCGCAACCTCCGCCTCCTGGGTTCAGGCAATTCTCCTGCCTCAGCCTCCTGAGTAGCTGGGATTACAGGCACGCGCCACCATGCCCAGCTAATTTTTTGTAGTTTTAGTAGACACGGGGTTTCACCGTGTTGACCAGGATGGTCTCGATCTCTTGACCTCGTGATCCACCCGCCTCGGCCTCCCTAAGTGCTGGGATTACAGGCGTGAGCCACCGCGCCCGGCTGCATTTTTCTTATACATTAACTTAAGAAATCGTTATTCCACCAGAAGCAAAAGGACAAAAATTTTTTTTAAATAATCAGTCCTCCATCTCAAAAAAAAAAAAAATTGTTCAAAGAATTAAACTAGCTATAGGAGTATATTTGCCAGGTCTTCTAGCTCACGCTGTAATTCTAGCATTTTGGGAGGCCAGGGCAGTGGGGAGATTGCTTGAGCCCAGGAGTCTGAGCCCAGCCGGGGCAACATGGGGAAACCCTGTCTCTGCAGAAAATACAAAAAATGTCAGCTGGGTGTGGTGACATGTGCCTGTAGTCTTGGCTACTCAGGAGGCTGAGGTGAGAGGATCTCTTGTGCCTCCAGGAGGTTGAGGCAGCAATGAGCTGTGATTGCACCACGGCACTCCAGCGTAGGCAACAGGAGACCCTGTCGAAAAAGGGGGGAAGTTGGGCAGGGGGAATATATTTAAGTAAGTTCCCTGTGAAAGCCCATCCATGTTAGTGTATTTCTTATTTCTTTTATTTTTCTAAAGTCCTCCCTGTAGTCTAAATATGTTAGCATATTTCTTATTTCAGTGTTTTTATTTGTAAACATGACATCATAGTCCAGGTAGGGGAGTGTGAGAAAACTCTCCAATTTATCTTTTACCTTAAGGAGTGTAATTTCAGAAAAGTAATAAGGGAAAACCAGCTTTCAAGAGTTAGAGAGAGACTAGAACTAAGGAAACTGAAGGCTCTCATTCTGTTTGATAATAAAAGGAAGACAAATTAGATAGTTGCTATGAGTTGGGGAAGAGCTAGAATAACAGTGTGGTTGTAAAAAGAAATAATTTATCTGAGAAGGCAGAGGAAACATGGAAAAGGTGCAGTACTGGATACTTGTACAAAAAAGTTCTACATGGTGGGAATTCACGGTGTAAGTCAGATGGTTAGCTTTGGAGAAGGGTAGGTGAGGCTTATGACCAGGAAGAATGCCTTGGCCTCGTCTCTCTAAACCGATGTGATGACAGCAAAGGATACCAAGTAGAGGGCCCTGAAAGCAGCAGTCTGGAGCAGCAGCTGCAGGAAAAATAAGGAGACAAATAGTAAAGTGGGCATTTTCAGAGACCCAGCTGAAATTGCACACACTTACTTACTCATAGCTCAGGTCTTTGGACTAAGAGCAAAAGTGGAGAAGTGGGAGTCAAAGGTTAGGAATTAGTAGATTGAGAGTGCATGGGTGTTAATGTAAGTGCAAATAAACTGACGGTGTCTACGGAAACTACAGTGGTAATGAAGAACCTGTCTCACAAAATTTCTATTAGAGCAGATGTAAGGCACAGTCTTGCATCTGTGAGGATTTTATGTAAAATCAATTTGGGTTACTCTATTTCTTATGTATTTTGACCCCTGGTTTCTGCACAGTCCACAGCAGGAGCATCATTATTGGCTAATGCCTCACCTCTGACTCTCATGACATCACCTTTGTCTGTGTCAAATCAAAATGTGACTCCTTTTGGGATGCTGGGTGGCCTTGTTCCAGTGACCATGCCCTTCCAGTTTCCCTTGGAGATATTTGGCTTTGGAACGGACACAGCTGGAGTGACAACCACGTCGGGATCTACCTCAGCCGCTTTCCACCATAGCCTAACTCAGAGTAAGTGGGGCTCTTCTATTTAGTTGGCTGTCTAGTTTGATGAAACAGGAAACCTCACAAATTTATTCTAATTAAGAGTAGCCAGTTGGAGTTAATAAAGATTATGGGTTTTTTTTATTTTTAAGAAATGCACTTTATCTCTAAATAGTAAGTCAAATTATCAGACTCTGGGATTCTGTATACAGTTTTTAAGCTGTCTGTACCACATTTCCACCTTAATGAAATTGTTAAGAGGAAGTCAAATGTGTTGGGTTATGTGCATACACATACATTAAGTAAATTTTTTAAAATGTGCTCTAGTTTTAGAAGGCCTTTGAAGTCAGGTGCTGTGCCTGCAATACATAAACCAGTTTTCATTTTTGAACTAAAAGGGCTCCAGTCTGGGTTTAAAGATGACTGACAAGTCTGTTTTCCTCTCAGATTTACTAAAGGGTTTACAGCCAGGAGCTCAGCATGCAGCGACGCTTTCCCACTCACCTCTGCCTGCACACTTACAGCAAGCATTTCACGGTGAGAACACCACCTACTTCATCTCTTTTATATTTGTATAGGCTGATAGATATGGATTATACTTTTATTTTCCGAAAACAATGTGAACGGAATGACCAAAGGTTGGAAAATGCAGACTTTCATATGACTGAATGCTCTTCCCTCTTTTTTCTTTTTGAGTTGGAGTCTCACTCTGTCACCCAGGCAGGAGTACAATAGCATGGCCTTGGCTCACTGCAACTTCTGCCTCCCCGGTTCAAGGGATTCTCCTGCTTCAACCTCTGGAGTAGCTAGGATTACAGTAGGTGCCCACCACCACCCCTGGCTAATTTTTATATTTTTAGTAGGCCGGGTTTCGCCATGTTGGCCAGGCCGGTCTCAAACTCCTGACTTTATAATTCACCCACCTCCACCTCCCAAAGTGCTGGGACTAAAGACGTGAGCCACCGTACCCAGCCACAAATTTCTGTTTAAGAGGAAGGAAATAGGTAAATGAGATCTTCTGTAACATAGAAAGAGCCTTTTTGAAGGTGTTTATTACGTGGAAATGACGACTAAGGAGAGTATCCGTAAGATAGCTAACAAAAGTTACATACAGTAGTGATAGTAGTTTACATGTATTGAAAGCTTACTAAATGCCACATAGTCTTGTGACAGCTTACATGGATTCAATAACTTAATCCTTAACAGCAAGTCCATGAATGATAGATGACAATTTCCATTTTACAGCTCATGAAGCTGAATCAGAGAGCTAAGCAGCTTGCCCAAGATAATACACTAATAAATGTTTGATCTGAGGTACTAGCCCAGGAAGTCTTAACTCCATGACCTGTATTCTTAGCCATTAAATAAATGTCTTTGTCATTTTAGCAGTGATGAAATTAATATGATCCTGTCAGGCCCAGTGGCTCACTCCTGTAATCCCAGCACTTTGAGAGGCAAAGGAGGGCATATCACCTGAGGTTGGGAGTTGGAGACCAGCCTAGCCAATATGGTGAAACGCCATCTCTACTAAAAATGCAAAAATTAGCTGGGCGTGGCGCATGCCTATAGTCCCAGCTACTTGGGAGGCTGAGGCAAGAGAATTGCTTGAACCCAGGAGGCAGAGGTTGCGGTGAGCCGAGATCATGCCACTACACTCAAGCCAGGGCAAAAGAGCAAGACTCCGTCTCAAAAAAGAAAAATTGCTTGGGGGGAAATAGGGGAGGGACAGTGGGAGGTGGGGAGTTGGGGAGAGATAGCATGGGGAGAAATGCCAGATATAAGTGAAGGGGAGGAAGGCAGCAAATCACACTGCCATGTGTGTACCTATGCAACAATCTTTCATGTTCTTCACATGTAACCCAAAACCTAAAATGCAATAAACCCCCCCCCCACAAAAAAAAAAAGAAAGAAAAATCCCTATGATCCAAGCTGTATGTATTATGTCCTTGCAGGCAGCCATATTGCTCTGAAATCTGACATTAGTGGGTACTATGCATAACGCATTGGCCTCCAGCTTCTCGTTTTCCCCAGCAGTTGACCTCCACAGATATTATTCTGAAGCCAATTTTCAGGATCTTTTGAGCAGAAATAACTCTTCAGCTGGCCTCTTAACTTTGAAAGTTGACTAGGCCTTTTTTTTTTTTCTTTTTTCTTTTTTTTTTTTGGCCACTGCATTAAAAATGATCTTTGAGCCAGGTGCAGTGGCTCACACCTGTAATACCAACACTTCGAGAGGCCGAAGTGGCTGGATCATGAGGTCAGGAGTTCAAGACCAACCTGGCCAACATGGTGAAACCCCGTCTCTACTAAAAATACAAAAATTAGCCGGGCATGGTGGTGCACACTTATAATCCTAGCTACTCAGGAGGCTGAGGCTAAACCTGGAGGTGGAGGTTGCAGTGAGCTGAAATCGTGCCACTGCACTCCAGCGTGGGCGACAGAGCAAGGCTCTGTCTCAGGGAAAAAAACAATCTTTGAACCAGTTTACCATTGACCACAGTGCAGAGATGGGGACTGAGGAGCAATCTTGAGGCAACAGATTGCCATTAATCCTTCAAAAGAACTAAGTGGTGAGCTGTCCCAGTCTCACCCTCGAGAGTGAGCATAAAATCACAGTTGTGTAAAATGGGTAACAGATTCCTGGCACAAAGTCAGCAATCCTCACCTTCCTGAACTCTGACTAGTTTCAATATTTAAAGAGAATTGCCCTGTGACTAAAGCAGTTCCTCCCTGGGTGTAGACAACTGCTTGGTATAATGAATCCAGCTGAGAATATTGTACTCTTGGGCAGATTGGCATGAATGTAGCCACCTGCAATTAAACAAGCAGGATTCTCTTGGCTCAAAAAGACCCCCCCAGTGTTTGCTGTTACATGAACTATCTCATCTATGCAGCGCTGCTATTCAGGAGGGAGAAAGGAATGGTAGCTCATGCCTGTAATCCCAGCATTTTGGGAGGCCAAGGCACGTGGATGCTTGAGTCCAGGAGTTCAAGGCCACCCTGGTCAACATGGTAAAATGCTGTCTCTACAAAAAATACAAAAAGATTTCTGGGCATGATGACGTGTACCTGTAGTCCCAGCTACCTGGGAGGCTGAGGTGGGAGGATCACCTGCGTCTGGCAGGTTGAGGCTGCAGTGAGCTGTGATTGCGCCACTGCACTCCAGCCTGAGTGACAGAGTGAAAATCTGTCTCCAAAAAAAAAATAATAAGTTTAAAAATTTTTTCTTTAAGAAACATTTTAAAGTATGAGTCACTGAACTTGAGTATCAGACTTGGATTTTTTAATTCCAGAACTGCCAGTTTAAGTAGGCTTAACTTGTTTGACCACCACTTTCTCTTGTAAAATGGGGACAACAAATGTTTTTATTGACTTGACAGGAGAATTTAATAAAAATTAATTGATTTAAAGCTTCTAGCCTGGTACCTGATGCATAGTAAGAACTCAATTAATGTTGATTAATTTTATCTAGTCTAAAACAAAAGTCAGTAAAATTTTTCCATAAAGGGCCAAATAGTAAATATCTTAGGCTTTGCAGGCTATATGGTCTCTGTTGCCACTACTCAACTGACCATTGTAGTGAAAAACAGCCATAGACAATATTTAAACAAATTAGTGTGGCTGTAAATAAAACTTTATTTACAAAAGCAGGCCGGGAACCAGAGTTGGGCTATGGACTGTAGTTTACCAAACCCTGGTCAAATTGGTTCTTTTCATCTATGTATTTCTGCCATTCATGCCTCTCATCCTCAGAGTAAAATGTTTCCTTCCCCAGTCCTTTGCTGTCAGACCTGGATTGTCTTTAGGGCCTCATTTTTCTTGCTAAGGCCATGTACCTGTTGGCTCTCCAGGTCACTGGGCCCTACCCTTGTTCTGGTATCCCCCTTTCCTCTCCTCTCTCCAGCCTCCAATTTATTTCAGGCTTAAATGGAGTGATCAGCATTTTTCTCTGCAAGCATTTAAACAGCGGTATGTAAAAATAGAAATTTTTTTCATCTGGTGTGTTGGCACACACTTGTAGTCCCACTGTTTAGAAGGCTGAGGCGGGTGGGTTGCTTGTCCCCAGGAATTTGAGGCTCTAGGAAAACACAGCAAGTCTCCACCTCTTAAAAAAAGAAAGAGCATTGTCCCAGTAGCAGACTTTCCTGTCACTTAAAGCTAGATTAGAATGAGCACACAGGCCGGGCACGGTGGCTCACGCCTGTAATCCCAGCACTTTGGGAGGCCGAGGCGGGTGGATCACGAGGTCAAGAGATCGAGACCATCCTGGTCAACATAGTGAAACCCCGTCTCTACTAAAAATACAAAAAATCAGCTGGGCATGGTGGCGCATGCCTGTAATCCCAGCTACTCAGGAGGCTGAGGCAGGAGAATTGCCTGAACCCAGGAGGCGGAGGTTGCGGTGAGCCGAGATCGCGCCATTGCACTCCAGCCTGGGCAATAAGAGCGAAACTCCGTCTCAAAAAAAAAAAAGAATGAGCACACAGACTCAGCTGGATGTTTTTACTACAGGTGAAAAGTGTGCTACACAAATAATCAGGAATTACGAAAACCTGTGTCCTGGCAAGAAATTTTACTCCACTTATAAAAAAATAAATTGACCTTGTTCTTCTAAAGGAATTGAAAGAGGTAGTGGGTCCCTCAGAGGTGGAAATTGTGTCTTCTGGTTCCTTTATAACCCTCTCACAGCATTTGACACAATCAGCTGGGAAGTAAATGATAAATACTTGTTGAAATAATATTTATAGGACACTGAAAAATACAGTCATTTGAGAAAAGAGGATCATTGTTGTTGCGTTTTTATCTCCGTGATGTTTTATCAACCTCTGTAATCCTATATAGCATGCAAGATACTAAAAGTTACCTTTTCAGAGATGTCATCCACAAAAGATAAAAGTTAATTGTTCCTTTTGCTTTGTTTTTCTTACCTGGTTTTTATAACATGGACCCATACCAATTTAACATCTCTTTTTCTCAGATGGAGGCCAAAGTAAAGGGGACACTAAATTACCACGGAAATCTCAGTGACTGCCCAGCAAGCAAAGGAGACGAAATGTGTAGTTGACTGATGGAATCTACCTGATGGGAAAGTACTTATGTGGTCATAGGGCTGCTGTTTCTGTCGATGTTTACATTCTCTCGTCCCAAGCACTGTGGTGAGGAGGAAAAAGAAAAGAAAACATTACTTGAGCAAAGCCAGGTGCAGGAGGAAGAAATGCTTTTGTGCAAAGTTAGTGACCTTTGGTCTCTTCTAAAGAAAGACAAAGTTACCATATTAACAGACTTGAAAGACACTCAGTTGTCAAACCCACAGAAATACAAATTTGATTTTTCCCGGGGGAGGAAGAAGGAAGGCAAGAGAATTTGGGTAAACTCCATCCATCCTGGGGGTTGGATCTGAACACTTACCGACATAATTGCATAATAAAAGGCATTAAAAACTGGAATTAGGCCAGTTTGTCAGGAATAATGATCATGTCTTTGAGTGGACTGTGTAGCAAATTTGCCACAAAAATATATGTATAATGATTCTCCGATAGGCAGTAGCTGAAGAAATACCATACCCTCAAAAATCCTGAACAAACTTGAATCTTCTCCAGTACGTAGCAACTCCCCATGTAAATCAGTGGACTAAAGATCCTTCAGGAAAGTTATTTTAGCACAGTGATATATATCTAGATTTTTTAAAATCAGGAAGTTGAGCCTGTTGCTCTTAAGAGATGAAACTTAGATATCCCCTTTTTGTAAAAGGGTCAATTTCATCTTCCGTTCAGAAGCAGGTACTTAACTCTTTTCTTCAGATGATTTGTGCATCTGGTATTGCCTGGTTAATTCTTATTTGCATTCTTGATGTTAAAATGTGACTGTGTTCACATTTTTCTCTTGAGAAATGGGGATCTTTACAGGGTTACTGCTTTGCTGCTTTTAGCCCTTACAGCAACATAAACTCTAAGTTTCCCCCAATTCATCTAACTTCACAACTTCTCCTTCTGTTCTTTTAGCTAGTGGTACTTTAGGTAGTTATTAGCTATTGATATATAAACAGGTAGAAGTATAAACTGTGTTTCTTCATTGGTCATTCAAATGGCATAAATATAGTTTCTGGATTTTTAAGATGGTATTTTAAAGGGAGGAATTACATTAGGATCACAATCACAATGTATTTCTACTCCCTGTATCCAGTGTACTGAAATTGTTTGGAGCATTTGAGATCCTAAAGCTTTACTGATATTTACTCAGTGTATTGATATGTGAGTAAATCTGCAGATAATAAGACTCCTTAGTTATTGTAGCTTCCTTATGCAAATAGCATATTCAGCAAAGGATGTTAGGTAAAAATTTATGGTTCTCCTTGGCTACATTTGATTTGATTTGGACTTGTTTTCTTTTGGCCTCATTATTCTAGTGTTTTAAGCTTCTGAATATTTTCAGACTATATTGGAGAATGGTGTAAACTCTAAATGGTATAAGCTTGATCCATTTCTAATGACACACTAACCTAAAAAAACAATAGACTGGTACTAGCAAGATTTCTTGCATATGTGCTTATTACACATTACACTATACTATTAAATTTATTCAAATAAGAGTATTAACCAGGCCCTTTTTTCTTTTATACACAAAAGTTCCAGATATCCTACAGGACTGTGAATAAATAACCACAGATCTGTTCAGATCTGTATGCCTGTATTTTGACTTCAAAGTCACATTGGCTTGCTTCATAGCGAAAAAGTTAATAAATAACTGAAAACTTTAGTTCCAAGAACTTGTTACAGTAAAGGGAAAGGATTATTTCAAAGGAATCACTGATACAATTTCTTGACTCTTAAGAATTTAGTTTACCAATAGAACAAATATGGATGTAGTGTGAACCGCAGTGGATATTTTGGAAGGATACTGGGAGGATGTTGCAGAGAGGTTTGACTTGAATTCAATATGTTTGATGAAGGTTTGCTTGGTTTCAAATAGGGACGCTTACCCAGTTTTTTGATGTTTTCAAATGTAGTCGACCTCTTGCTTTTATGAAATTTGAATAAAAAGGTCTTTGCTTAATACTAGGGTAAGTGATGGGATTTTCCTTTGGGAAGGTAGCCTTTGTTTTACTTCTCATACCACAAGAGAAGTCAAAGTGCATATTAATCTCTCTTCCTGGATAATTATATATGTCTGTCTGTATATATACATACACACATATATTCACATAAATGACTAGTTTGAGTCAAAAAAATCATTTGAATTTCTTAAAACCCATCAATTCTGAATCATGCCATGTGAAAATCCCTGGTGACTCTCATCATTAGAAAAGAACAGGATAATCAGTACTTTTTCCTGTAGCATTTTATGCTAACCAGTAAAAATATCTGAAGGCCCATGGCTCCAAGAATATAATACAGATATTCTGCTGTGTTCTCTTTAGTCTTGCTTGATTCCTTGAGGACTGCTGTCAGATTCCCACCTTAAACCCTCATCTGCACTGACGACTTATATTCATTTTAGTCAGGACCCCCTTTTTATGTTGTATGAATCATCCTTGTATTTCTGTATAGATAAAGTATGATCAGAGAGTTTCTACATGTAAATACAAATCTATTTCTTTTCTAGATCATAACATTGAAAAAGGTGTCCATACTCCATGGTCACCTGTCTTTACCGTTTTTATTACTAAAAACAGACATATAAATTGGTTATTTTTTAGCACAGAGACTTGTGACTCATACTGTATTTTTGCACTTAAAAATCAAATTATGTTATTTTTTAAAATGGTGAGTCATTGGAAAGGATATCTATAGAGCAACGTGTATTTCCGAAGAGCATTAGCAACATCCAAATGCAAAAATAATCAGCACACATGATTATATTCCCACTCCTCGGGATTCTTGATTCAGGAAGATTAAGCTGTTTGTTTTGAACTGTTTTATATTTTAAATTGCCTTCACTGATATATAAGCTGTTACTGTACATACAAGTTAATCCTCAGTATTCACAAGCAATAACAGTCAGCAGAGTTGTCCTCGGGGATAGCTGTGCTGATGGAGACTGGGAGCCAAGTGTCAAGCTCATTCAGAGCCTCCAGAATAAATGCAAGCAATAATTTCCATTATAAGTCAATTGTAAGTCTTGTATGCTTTTGAGGTCAGAGGGTAAATGAAATCATGATTTTAAAACAGCCTGAAGAAAAAGGTTTTAGGAAAGGAAATGAGGCTAATCCGTAGTCACAAAATTCTGATATTTCACAGAAATTAGAAGATGGTGATAGAACATTCTTTCACGCCCACCACCCCTCTGATGGATGTTGTTAGCCCAAATTACATTTTCATATCATGAACATTGAATAGGGTTTATTGAATCACAAAGGTAAGGGGAAGAACCGGGCACATATGTGTTTGAATACTGTGGGTTTGACACCTGGTTGAAAACTTACTGGACATGATTTTTAACCCAGGATATTTTTTTCCCAAAGCAGATCTAAATTGTTTACTCCCCGGGTTGGAAAGGACAGGCACCTCTAATCTAGTCTTTCTCCTCTGGTCGCCCTCTCCCATACCCCTTTCCACCTATACTTGGTTCAAGACATTTTCTGAAATGAAAATTCTACTGTTGTTCAAACTGCCATTGGTTATGAGAACTCTGTGTCCTTTGGGATCATCTCTTAGAACTCCAGTGATCTATCTCATATTTGCTGCTACATTTGTAAAATGAACTTTGCCTGTATTGGTTGACTTTAATCTAATTTACAGTTCTTTATTTCTAGGATGTTTTGTCCTCTAATTTGACTCATGTATAGAATTAGGATACTTTATTTTAGGAGTGTACCATAAAAGCACACTGGTCCCTATGTTGTTTTTATCATTTAGGTTTGGAATTTCTGTTTGCTTTTTTTTTGTTTTGTTTTTGTTTTAATTTGGAAATAGAAGAATGAGAAAAATCTATAATCAGGCCCAACTTGAGAACTTTCCCTGTGCTTCAGCACTGTAATTCTGCTGACCTAATGTTCTCAAAAGAGGCACTTTTACTTTCTATTGTGCATGTATGATTGTCGTTTTTTGCTTTGGGGGGGTTTTGTGTTTGTAATAATGAAGCAGAAGAAAAGTGCAGTAGTAGATAAATGACTGATCACAAACATGTTATGCAATTTTATTTTATAAAGTTTTAAGGGGAAAAGTTTAACTCTTTGTAAATCATTTCTTAGCTCTGGTAAAATGCTTATATTACTCCTCTAAAACATGCTCAATTCAGGCCTTTGTCTTTGTTAAGTGCCTTTTTTCTTTCTTTTTTCCCCTCTTTTGAAACCTTTGTCAGATTATCTTAAAGTACAGACTGATAAGTCAGGGGATTCAGGAGGAAGAATCTCACACTTGCCTACGTCATGTCATGCTGTAACCCTCTTCGTTTTCTTTATATGTATACGGATATATGTGTAAGATACAAACATTACATATATATAAAACTAGGAGCTGCTGTACCATTGCACCCTTTCCAAACACTCCCCTTTCACTGTTGGCAAAACTTCTGCCTTGTTTATTCCATTGCTTTCAGTTGATTAAAGTGGGTGGATTAGAAAAGTATCTTTTCACAACAGGCCATCTTTGCCCTTTAAATATCTGTTTGTAGAAGTTAACAGCAACACACACACACACACACACACACACGTCAGTTATTACAAGTAAAATAAACTTAGTAAATCATTGACTATTCTTGGATGTAACCCACTTTTCTGTGCTCTTTAAACTTGGCGTAAGTAATATAGGAGAAAGCATTGGAATAACAAGAGTACCTTGCAGGTCGTGTTGATAAGGTGTGCTAGACTAAGCGTGGGAAGGCTAGCATTAGAACCATGGTATGGTATCTGAATGAGTTTAGAAGGAAGTTAGCAACTGTCAATGTTAAGTATGTATCATAGTTTCTTCTGGAACATGATTTTTGAAGGAATCATATAGCTGCATATCTGTTAAAAGGTTAATAAACTCAGAAGTAGAAAGACTTCAGATGCTGAGGAAAACATTCATATAATCTATAGCATCCTTGAGAGATTTTCCATTTGCTTTTTATTTGCCATATAATTACATTTGGCTTAATCTGATTTTATGGTTATTTAGATTTCTCCCTTGAGCAAAACAACATAACTTTCAGTATCTAAGATTCATCAATTTCTTGTTGAAAACAAATAGATGTGACATGTTAAGGGAGACCAAGTTGAACCATCCTTCAAAACCCAGTACAAATATACCTAGTAGGTGCCCCCTTTTCAATAAATTCTAATTGGGAAGAACAGACTAGTGGCTTAAAAGGAGAAAGCAGAAGCTCCTGGTAGTGTTATCTGATAGCAGAACTTGCCAGGCAGCTAGAATTCACAGGTGTTACTCTTGAATGACTATGTCTAGGGGGAATATCGTTTAACCTTCGTGCCTCAGATTACCCATTAGACAATTGGGTATAATCATATTCACCTACCTCCCAGGGATATCAGAGACTTTACTATTTCGAAAATATTTTGAGTTTTTGTAAAATGTCCTATATAATTAAAAATGCTATTATCATCTTCCTGCAGAGGCTAAAAAATGTTTTCCTTATAATGCGTATAAAAAGCACCCTATGATTTTTTAAAAAATCACTGGAATTCTAATTTAGATACATATTTGTTATTTAAACATTATCTTTGAAGTGGGATAAAATGTTTAGTTTCAGGTTAACAAGGGAGAGAGATAACACTAAGTTTAAGTAGTTATTTTTAGGCTTTTACGGTGTTACTGTGATTTTTGTCAAGGTTGTGGAGCTCAAGTTAGATAAAGTTTTAATGCTTGGTTATTGGAGTTGATAAATGACCCTGGAATTTTAACTGCCTCACTTTTCCATCTTCTCAGTCTAATTTCCTTTTATTACTTGTTTGGGGACGGGTAGCTAAGCTTTTTAACTTTCTAAGAATGAGTGGTATGTCTCCTTATTCTTGCAGATCAAGAGATTGTGTACTAATTTCATTAACTGTAGGTATATCCAGCTCTGCACTGAAGGGGGTGAGCACTACACAGAGGCAGCTGGATGCTCTTGTAGCCATTGTACCTTTGTAATTCATGCTTCTTCAACCCATGAAAGAGGTGGAGCCATCAGCTGCTCAGGTTGTAAGAAAATGGGAGACAGAAGGCAGGATTCACTTTCTAACCGGGTTGGGGGTGGGGAAGGTCAGGGTAGAAGGAAACATGTTTTTCCCCAGCTCCCCGGAGGAGATGAAGACCATTTTATCGCCATTTCCATCCCTGCATATTAAGTAGTACTATTAACGTAGAGTTTTCCCATGATTGTTAAAATAATAACAGGAAAAAAATGGATGCTGCAGTTTTAGTTAGGGCTAAATGCTGAGCAGTGATTGTTGGATTGTGTGTGTAAATTTAAATTGTAGCACATATTCAGGGTCAGGAACGGAGAATGTGAGGGAGGAACCAGTTTTATCCGGCTCAAGTGAGTTAGTAGAAAGCACCAGGTCCAGAGGCAGACAAAGCATCTGGTTAATTTCCAGAATTGGCTAAGATCCACTGAATCTCTAATGATAGGATGCGTGTGTGTGTGTGTGTTTTTAAGTCACTTTTTGGATTTTTGTTGCTTTTTCCAGATAAGGCCTTAGTTAGTAGCCTCTAAATATCAACTATGCAGATAAACATACTCCTTATTTTTCACATTTCCCTATCTTTTCCATTCTCAAATAACAAATGTTAAGACCCAAAGAAATAAGGCATAAGGGTTTTATTGAATGTGTGTTTGTTCCTCTAGGGAAAATGCAACAGAAGCATAAAATAGAGATACTTTGTGTGTTCATCTATCCTAAAATGTGAACTGTGTATTCAAAAACTATCTACAGATCCTTTCACTGGTGCAAAGCTGTGGTTAGTATCATGGAATGTCTTTGGGTTGTTAGTGGTAAAATCATCCCGGTGTTCAATTCTGAGAGTTTTAAATTATATGACAAAATGTTCAGGTTTATAGAGCTGAACGAGTGGTCAAACTCTTAATTAAAAATAGCTTTGAATATTAATGTTGAATTCTTCTTTTTTGATTTCGTTTAGTCTTCATTCTTTATTCCGAGCTCTTAATCATATTGCTACACTCGAATATGAGTTGTGTATTAGGAGTCTGAGGAGGAAAGGTTAAATTATCTTTTACGTCCTCTTCTCACTCACTCTGGCAATCTATCCTGTGACCCCATAGAACTGAAAAGTAAAGCCCTGTGCAGGCCTTCTTTAGAAGACTGTTTACATCCCAGCAGAGGACTTGGGCAAGGACTCTCTTAGGATTTTAATTAGACTGCCTTTGAATAATGTGATATTAAATTTTATTTTTCTCATAGACTCCCAAAGTACCACTTGCTTGAAAGTAGCTACTTGTGATATTTAATTTCCTTATATTGTAATAATTTTATTTCTCAGTCTTTCCTGTGTATATCCATTTTGTAGTGGGTTAGTACTTAAACTTGGGACACTTTTCCAAACTGTTACTCAAACAAGTCAGGAATGCTTTTCAGAATCGCAGTAGTATTATTAGGGTCTATGTATCTAGGACTTAGAGTCATTAGTGGTCATCACTGGGACTAGAGGTTTTTTTTTTTCCTCTTCTCCTTTGTATTAAAAAACAGATTTCGCTACTGTATAATGCGGCATTAGCTACATTTCATGACTTCCTCCTGATACTTTTTCGAGGTTATTCAAAAGAGATGCAGACCTTTATTAGGGGCTATTTCTCATAATAGTCTGCCTTGCTTATTTTCATACTCCCCCTGAAATAAGCCTACTTTTGCAAACAGGCCATATGAATCAGATTTTATGTTTGTTTCTCACAAAATTTTCTATACATTATTTGTTCCCATTTTGCTAATAATAATATAATGACTTTATTGTAAATCTGTGTTTTAAATATTTTATAATAGAGCACTAATGGAAACCTAATAAATACAAACAAGATGACTATTACCCGAGATAACTTAGAAATACTTCTGTTTTCGAAGTTAACAATACCATCTGCCCTCAAAGCACATTTAGGAGTCAATATCATCCAAGACCACCCAGTTGACATGTTTTTCTGTTTGACAACCTCCCCTTAAATTGTCAGATGTTAGCTATCTTGTGTTTGCTGTGCTTGCAGCCATAAGCTTTCCTCCTTTTTTGCTTATCTCTGCTGTTTGTAGGGTTGGTGTGCCCTCTGTCAGAAAATTGAGTTTTCTTTACTATACCTGAAAAACTATACCAAGGGTTACCCCAGTATTGGCTAGAGGAATTAAAAGAGAAAGAACTTACTCTCAATTGACAAAAGTATTGCTGTTTTACATAGTTAATTGGAAAGTTGGCCAACTCTGGTCACCTATTTTTGAGTCTTGGCCATGCCTTTGTAATTAATTACATATACCTTCTGAGACCTTCAGATAATCAATGGGCCCTGCCCCATTAGAGGTAGGTGCCCAGCCTACAAATAATTTCCTGTGATCCATGACAAGCCTCCAGAGAAAAGAGTCAAACTTTGCACTGCTCTTTTTTTTTTTGGTTATCATTGAAAACTTACTTTATTTTAGAAAGTATGAAAAATACCAAATTGTTCTTTCAGAGAATATGTAAGTCTGGGGCTTGCCCTTGCATTTTACTTGCTAAACACCCTCAAACTTAAAAGAAGAAAATAAATCTCCGGCTGGTGAAAATTTTGTGCCCCAAATAATATATTAATCGAAGTCTGCCAAGGTAGCTAAGTGTTGGGTGTTTTCTCTCTTTTACTACAAGCAAGAAAGTTTATTTGCATTTGTAAACATAATTATGGAACTCCAGACCTATTTGCTATAACTGATTGGAAATAATGATTCTGATTTTTAGTCTGGGTAAGCACATACTTCCAACCCTTATGGCATGAATTTTGATAAGGGAAAGACTCGTTTGGTAGCCCAAGGAAAAACAGGATGTATTTATACAGTGAATGTTCACTCTGCAGAGGAACGTCCCTCCAGTTACATCTTCTCATACATTAGCCACCTCCACACTTGACATTGATGCCAGCGTGTTTCGAAACCAATCTCGAAGGAGCCTCAAGAGTTGATGGTCCTCTAGGTGAAAGGCACGAATTACTGTATTGCATTTGCTTACGGGGAGGTGTGTTTTTTTGCTAACTTGAAGGGATATACTGTATTTCAAATAAGTGTGTGACTTAATATTTTGGGATTTTTTTTCCTCCTTTAAAAACTGGACCTGAACACAAGCTTTGAGTTGATATTTGTAATAATCTCAGGACCTGAAAGATTGTAGCATTTAGCGTGTCTTAAAAATTATGTACTGTACCAGCCATGGATTTTTGTAAATATACCTGTCTCCCTTTTTTGTATTATTTTAGTAAAAAAAAAAATAATAAATTTAAATAAAAGGGGGTGGTGATGACATGAATGGGTGTGGGTATGTGTGTGTGTGTGTTTGTATAAGGCTCTTTTGAGATGAACTGGTGCTTGTTTAATTTCCAGCTCAAATCGGAGCAGGAATATGGACAAACTGCTGCTACTGAACCCTGCACTGAGCCGAGGTATTTCCATTTTGTCATTTTCCATTTGGTTAATTAAACACTAGCTACCAGGAAATGACGTAGAAGTTACTTCTTCCCACTGCCATTTTGCCTTTGCATTCTCAGTTCTCCTTGCCCTTTGAACTTTAATGGTAAAACATTTCAAACTTTGGGTGGTTTGCTTGTCTCTAGTTTTTAGAAAGCTCTTATCACTCCTTCCTAAGAAAAAAGAAGGGCAGGTAAATTTTTTTAACCAAAAAATTACACATTTCATAAAACCCTGAATTTTGGATATGTGAGAGGGCATAAACATTCCTAAATATGGACCTGTGAATTTAGTAAATTACTCCCATGAATATACTTCTTCAGTGCAGGGATTTTTGTGGTTTATTTTTATTTCTTTTTCTTTTTTTTTTTTTTTTTTTTTGCAACAGCCTTGCTCATATTCCAGGTGTAGCTAGCAAACCCCTCTTTTTGAAGCAAGAGCCTTATTTGATTCAGTGTAGATGTTTCCTGTCTATCCTTTGTGACAGGGCCTTTTACATGAGTGTTTTTTCTTTTTGTATATGTTACGTGTTTATTGTTGTATTAAATAAAGAGGAATGTACATACTATCCCCGTGTCTGTTGTGTTATTGAGGACCTTGGGTTTTAACATCACACTCTTTCAGCCCTGGGGAGTATCTGCTGTCCATATCACACTGTGCTAGGTTATGGAGTACGAGAAGTAAAGGACACAGTCTCCTGCCTCCCAATATACTCACAATTTTGCAGGCACATGATAAAAGATAATGGTTCAAAATTTGTCTCAAAGGTGTGGCCCATTGCCACCTGACATTTGAGTTCACAGTCGGGGAGAAACAGGACTGTGAAGGGGTAATCAGGGAAGACTCAGTGAAATGAATGGCGTTTGAGGTGGGCCTCCAAGAATTGCTGGAATTTGACCAAGTCAGGAAGGTAGATCATCTGCTGTGAGGGGCATGTTTGGACGAGTAGAGGAGGGCAGAGTGTGGGAGTCCTTGAATGTGACTCACTCTAGGTTTTCCGGGTAATAGGGTATGTGTGTATGTCGTGATGCTACTATGGTCAGGACTTGAAATGTAGATGTGGGAATCATATAAAAATAATTCAACCTTAGAAATTCAGGTAAGAGGCGAGGCGCGGTGCCTCACACCTGTAATTCTAGCACTTTTGGAGGCCGAGAGTGCCTTTGGGCAGATCACAAGGTCAGGAGATGGGAGACCATCCTGGCCAACATGGTGAAACCCCATCTCTTCTAAAAATAGAAAAATTACCTGGGTGTGGTAGTACGTGCCCATAATCCCAGCTACTTGGGAGGCTGAGGCAGGAGAATTGCTTGAACCAGGGAGTCGGAGGTTGCAGTGAGACAGAGCAAGACTGTCTGAAAGAAAAGAAAAAAAAAGTAGGTAAGGGGTGGGAGAAGGATGAAGAGAAAGCAACTTGTCAGAGAAAGTGAACAGTCATTTATAAGTGTATGTGCGATCTGCATAGAAAATATCAAAAAGGTTATCGATGAAATGGGGGTATAGAAAAAAATATCAAAAAGGACATACACTGCAAAATATAGAGTGATGTGAGTGCTTTTTATTTTTTCCTTTTAAGTATTTTCAGTGTGTTGTAATGAAGATGAACTAAAATGCAAAAAGGCACGGACCTCATGCATTAGGGGATGAGGGGGACTGTAAGTGCCTTTAGTTAACACGTCAGGACAGTTTTGCAAAAGTGTGTTCTTGTCAGCAGTACGTACCTTCAAGATGCTTTTTGACAAAACCAAAAAACCCTGTGGTAACGTAATTCAACTATACCTTACCACGTTTTCACCATCTTGTAAATGTATGTTACCATATAAAGGTGTCATCGTTAAACATGGTTTTTAAAAACTCATATTTCTACCAAGAGTGTTTGGCAGGATGGGACACTTTTTTCATGTAATTCCAACTAATATTAAATTTTAAAAGATGGCCAAGGCAGGTGGATCACCTGAGGGCAGGGGTTCACAACCAGCCTGGCCATCATGGCGAACCCCCATCTCTATGGAAAATATGAAAATTAGCTGGGTGTGGTGGTGCATGCCAGCTATTTGGGAGACACAAGAATCGCTTGAACCCGGGAGGCAGAGCTTGCAGTGAGCAGAGATCATGCCACTGCACTCCATCCTGGGTGATTGTAAGTGTAAATATATGTGTATGTATATAAATGCATTAGAAAATATACAAAAGAACATGCACCCAAAAAAGCAGAGTGGTGGTATCATTACTTTTTCTTATTTTTCCTTTTACCTAAGTTTATTTTCAGTGAACGTGAATAACATGAGTTAATTGTTTTGTGTAACAAACAGATAGGTGAGTTTTTGGTTGAAGAGAGGGAGAAAGAAATGGGAAGGGGCCTCTCCCTGTCTCATCACTGGAAGAAAGGGAAAGGAATTTCTTTTTCTATTTTTTTTTTTTTAAGATGGGGTTTCACCATGTTGGTCAGGCTGGTCTTGAACTCCCAACCTCAGATGATCCGCCCGCCTTGGCCTCCAAAGTGCTTGGATTACAGGCGTGAGCCACCATGTCCAGCCTGAAAGAAAGGAATTTCTTTCTTTCACTTAGACCTTAGTATATCCTAACATCAGATTTGGCTTGGAGGGGAAACACATTAAACTGCTTTATTTAAAATAAAGATTTGTTTTGCTTTGGGAGGCTGAGGTGGGAGGATCACTTGAAACCAGGAGGTTGAGGTTGCAGTTATCTATGATCATGTCACTGTATTCCAGCCTGGACACAGAACAAGACCCTGTGTGTTGTTTTTTTTTTCCAAAGGAATATGTCCTTTTCCAAAGGACAATGACAATCTCCTCTCAGGCAGGCATACGCTGACGTGTCATGGGTGTTCTTAGCTCAGAAATCATCGTGCTTCCATATGTGCCTAGGTGCGGTTTGTTTTTCTGCCTCGGTATATTAGCCTCTTCTGTATCTCTGTGTTTGTTCCTTCTTCATTTCCCCATCATCTTTCCTAGTAAGGTGGCATGGTGTGAAGAACAGATTGACAGCAGAAAGGCGGGTTCATAAGACTCCACTATGAAGCTGCATTACTCTAGACAAGACACTTGCCCTTTCAAGGCCATTTCCTCATCTGCACAGGGATGAGACCCCAGGCAGTTATATTGTTTAGAGACAAGGTATGGAAAGCACCTAGCACAGTGCCTAGCACATAATAAGAGCTTATACATGGTGGCTACTATTATTCTGTCTCTTCTCTTTTTACTTCTTAAATGTGTGCTTCCTCTTGCTCCCCTGATTTCCCAGAGGTATAGAAGTGAAGCCATAGTGTTGTTTAAAATCCGGGGTAGTTATCACCTAAAGTACAGGCAAAGATAGATAACAGTTAAAATTCTTTCATCACAGGTATCAGAAACCCCCGGCTTAAAAGGTCAAGGGAATCTTCTGGTTCATCTGAGTGGTCTTACAGGTACTTGGTTTAGATGAAGTGTCATAGAGTGATTCCATGTCACCAAGATCCAGCTGTCTCTGCACTGCCATTCCAAGGGTGTGGCTCTGCAGGCAGTCCCTCACAGCTGCAACCTCTCTTTCTGCAGCCAAACACCTGCTGTAGTTTCAAACTATATGTGAGTATGTGCTGTGGATAATTTCTTTTTACTTTGTACTGAAATGCAAAGTAACGCATCAATCATATGTCTTGATTCATAGCACATTGTCATCATCAGTCAGTTCGAGAACTCATTCCCTTCATTATCCGTTCAGTTTATCCTCTTCCTTAGTCCTCACTCTGCTCTGTCCCAAAGGCACCACTCTTAATTGTTTGGTGCATACCCCGTGTTATGCAGGCATTCTTTGAAGTAAGTAGTATTGTGTTGCGTGTATACAATTTTAATCAATACAAATGGTACTGTGGTATTCATTTTTACTATTTTCTGCTTTTCTCACTTACATGTATCCATGTTGCTATATGTGCATTTTGCATGTTGCTTCTTACTGCTGCACAGGTTCCCTAGTGTGCAGCCACCATATTATACATACCTGTTCCCCTCACAGTGGATAACTAGGTTATCTTCTATTCCTTTTTACCAAGAACTAGGTGATAGTCTTCCCTTCTGTCAATTGCATGTTGATCTTTGCTGATTGTGCAATTGCATTTTGGTTTCTTGTTGTGAATATTAATCTCTTATCAGTTTTAGATGTGTCAGTTACTTTTGTCTGTTTCGCGTCTTTTAAATTTGTCTGTGGCATCCTTTATTGAACAGAAATCCTTGCTTTTTAATTAATCTACTTTTTGTCTTATGTTTTTTTGGGTAGTTTACTGATGAAATGTTTCCCTAGCCCTACACCACAAAGATATACTCCAGCATTTTCTCCTATGAACTTTATAGTTTTGCCTTCACATTTGCATTTACAATCCATCTGCCATCCACCTTTGTTTATTGTGTAATGTAGGGATCCAGCTGTATTTTCCATATTTAGTGGAGCAATTTTCCCAACACCATCCAGCAAATCAATACTTCACCCATTAATTCGTGGTACCATTTTTATCATATGTCCAGTTCTCATATATGGAAGGATCTATTTTTGAGCCCTGTTCTGTTCCATTCTTTTTATTTCCACACCAGTATCTTACTGTTTTCTATTACCATAGACTTATAATATCCCTTAATATCTAGTAAAGAGAGTCCCATCTCTGTTACTCTATGTTGGCCCAACTAATTGTGGATTTTTATTCTATATACATTTTAGAATAAAATTTTCCAGTTCCATTTAAAATCAAGTTGAAATACTGATTCGGATTGAATTTGCATTAAATTCACATTCTTTGAGGCCTGTAGAGTGGTTTAAGAAGAATAATAGAAACTTTGAGTTACAGATCTTTTTGTGTGTGTGTCTTCCGATAAAGCTTTTAAAACTTCTCTATGAAGGTCTTATTTATATATTGATTTCTAGATACTTTATGGCTGCTGCTTCCATGAATTGTATCTTGTTCTTTGTTTTCTGGTTTGTTATTGGTATTAAGGAATGTTATTGATCCTTTAAAGTTGATTTTTATATCCAGCAATTTTGCTAAACTGTTATTCTAATAACTCATCTGATTACTTTATTAGCTTTTCAATATAAATGATCATATAATCTACAAATAATGACAGTTTTATCTCCTCTTTCAATTTCACTTTTTACAGCTTGTCTTAGAGCATTAGATTGGTCCTTGGATGTTATGCTAAACGGTAATGGGGAACATTACAGTCTTTTTCCTTATTTATCTAAGCCTTCTCCATTAAGTATGGCATTATTCTAGATTTTTGGCGTACAGTTTTTATGAAGTTAAGGAAGTTCTATTCCTAATTTTCTGGGAAGGTTGATTATATACATGAATTGAATTCAATCAAGTGCTTTTCCCATAATACCTATATACAATCAACACTGACAGAAATTCTTTTTCTTTTTTTTTTTGAGGCAGAGTTTCACTCTTGTTGCCCAGGCTGGAGTGCAGTGGCGTGATCTCTGCTCATTGCAACCTCCGCCTCCCATGTTCAAGTGATTCTCCTGCCCCAGCCTCCCAAGTAGCTGGGATTACTGAGGCATGTGCCACCACACTCGGCTAAT